TTCTATTCTATTCTATTCTATTCTATTCTATTCTATTCTATTCTATTCTAATTCTATTCTATTCTATTCTATCTATTCTATTCTACTCTACTCTACTCTACTCTACTCTACTCTACTCTACTTCTATTCTACTCTCCTCTATTATTTCCTTTCCCTTCTTTTTTCCTTTCCATTTTTCCTTTCCTTTCCTTTCTTTTTTCCTTTCCTTTTCCCGTCCCTTCCCTTCCCTTAACTTTAAGACCTGCTGGGGCCTGCTCATTAGGCCGGCCAGCCTCCGTAAGTTTCTGAGGTGCTCAAGGGCTTCTCTCTGCTTCAGCAGGAAGTCCCAGTTAGGGCGCAGGGCAGGAGAAGGGGGGGGGTGTCAGCCATGTCGTAACTCTATGCCATTTACTTGGTGGTGTTCAGGTGCCTGATTAAGAGGACCCTCCCATGCTCCGTCTTGGCGTACAGACACAGCAGAGCCAGGCACTCTTCCTGGACTTCGGGCGCCTCCGAGCACAGCAAGGCGGGTAGCTGCACGTTGACCCTGGGATGAGTTAGAAGCAGCCGCTGGTTCTCTTCTGGGTTGAGAAGGAAGCAAAGCCAGAAGGAAGTGTCAGCCAGAGGGCCGCACCAGCCACTCTACCAGCCCTCGTCCTAATCCCCTCTGCCTTTCCCCAAATCGTGCGACCGCTGGCACGTTCTTCCATGCCCCGGTGGAGAGATCCATCTGCCTCCAGGAGCGACGGCAAAAGAAGGAACATTCTGTCTGCAGAAGCTGAACCTCTGACAGTCCTCCGAAGGGCAAATTATGTCTCACACACTGATGGGAGAAGCCATCCACGCCTCACGGAGTGACACCTTTCAAGCCTCATTGGACAAATGTGGATTAAGGCAACTCTGAACATCCGCATGCCCAAGAAGGTAAGTTAGTCTCCTTGATGCAACCAACCTCCTTTCCTCCAGATAGCTGGTGCCTTCGGAAGGTCTAAGGTAGAGGTCTCCAAACTTGGCAACTTTGAGACTTGTGGACTTCAACTCCCAGAATTGAAGTCCACAAGTCTTAAAGTTGCCAAGTTTGGGGACCCCTGTTCTAAGGTGAACTGTCTGCCAGGAAGGCCTGTAACCTGGAGTTACTTTACTCCCAAGCAGGGGTGGGATTCTATCGATTCGGACCAGTTCAGGTGAACTGGATGTTACATTTGCATCTGGTTCACAGAACCGGTATTTGAACCGACTGGCTGGCCCCGCTCGCCCCTCCTCTTCCCTCCCAGGAGTCTTCACACGGCCCATTTTTGATGCAAGGTCTGTGTGGAGGCTCTGGGGAAGAGGGGGAAACGGGCCTTCTAGAAGTCCAGAAACGGGCCTGTTTCCAGCTTCCAGAGGGCCTCTAGAGCCCGGGGGAGGCCGTTTTCACCCTCCCAGAGGCTCAAGGGAAGCCTCCGGACCCTTAGGAAGGCAAAAAAACGGCCCTCCTAGAATTTCCGGTAGGCCACGCCCACCATGGCCACATCCACCCAGCAACTGGGCAGCGAACCGGTTGCTGGGATTTTTGAATCTCACCCCTGCTTTACTCTCAAGATAGGCTGAATGCTCAATAGATGCCACAATGGTTTTCCCACACGGCTGCAATTTTCACAGCCAGGAAGATCCTGGATCTTGGTCAGGCCAAATAAAACCCTTGCGAAAAGGTGGATCTTGCCAGAGGGCTGGTTATTATTCAGCAAAAAAGGGCCGGGACAGAGAAGAGCCCATGGACAAAGAGACACACCCACACTGATACACAAAGGCCAAGCTGTGAAGCCTCCAGGGGCTATCAGAGGTGATGGGAGGCTGGCGGAGAGCGATTTTCTACCCATATAAGAAGGGGGTATGGAGTAACCCACAGGTTTGCTACCAACACTGCCCATGCCACGAGGACCTTTGACCTGTCACTCTTTCGATCATGTATCTCAGCATTATTTGTGCCCTGAAGAGCCACCTGTCCGAATATTCATGAACTGGCAGAGACATGGTTAACAAAGTCAGTCAATGGGAGCTGAGTTGGGGGCTGGGTGTGGCTCAGCTCCATGCTCTCAATTCTGAAAGTGAAACAAATAATCTGTTCTGAGCTCCTGAAGCTGCTGTTTGTGTTTTGCTTACGTTACCTTGGAAAAAACTACTAGTATTCTAAATGTTACTTTAATAAGTTATTATGTCTATAAAGAAGTTAATGAATCCTGCTGAATCAGTCACCTGTGTGTTTTATGGACTTGAATTTGCTGCAAATTCTCACACTGTCCTCCTCCCTGGAAAGACAGATGGACTCAAAATTGGAGTGTGTGCGTGTGTGCGCGCACCCACCCACCCACCCACACAGACACAGAGGGAGTATTACCGTTCCCTTTGCAGACGGCTTGCCAGAGGAGAAGCAGCGAGCAAGCCAGTTCCAGTTCAGCAGGCGAGTTGATCTTGGCGCTGAGAACCCTGGGAAAGAAAAGGTGGATGGTTGAAAGGTGAAAGGAGGACCAGCTCTCGGCTGCGGAATGGCTCATTTTCCCAGGATAACAAAATCCAGGCTGTGGATCCGGCCTCTAATTGGGGCGTTTTGAAAGAATCTTTCGGTGACTTGCAAGAGACAAAGCTGGGATGTTTGGCAGAGAAAGATAAAGAAAACCTGCCAAGCCTGGCCTTGAACTCACCTTTCACAGCAAAACCTGAAGACTGAAATAATGGGATAAATGAATAATGGTGTCAAATTATGCATAAACTGAGCATTTGTCAGCAGAGATGGGAAAGGAAGAGTTTCAAATAAATAACATTCGCACCTACCGCTCTATGACCTTGTTGTTGCTGAGGACACTGAAACCGCCGTTCGTCCTAAACAAGGTTTGCTCGGGGCCTGCAAGCGATTCAGACAGAGGGAAGCAAACATCTTGCTGGAAGCTGAAATCCAGGGGAAGAGTTGAGGGTGGGGCATTTCCTGGGGTCTGGGCAAGATCCTTGTTTTTGGCCCTTAGTAACAGGACCTTTCTGGTAACACCCCCCTGTGGGGCACTGGGGAAATGCGGGGGGGGGGGTTGTTTCAGTCTGGGGCCGCCTCATCTATGGGGCACTCACAGGCTTGAACCAGGTCAGTCAGAAGCTGAAGGCCTCCTGCGTAATACAAGGGGTCCTGATCCGGTTTGCTGAGTTTCTGGAGCATCTCGCTCACGGCAACGGCGGTGAGTTTCCCAGTCTTCAGATCTTCTGACGCTGCCTCCTCCTCGCTGAGCCTTTTTTCCTCCAGGTCTATTTCATTGATACAATCTGGAGGCGGGAAAAGGTAGAATTGAGAGGCGGGAAGAGGAAGAAGTTGGGACGAAACGAAGCGAGGATAACGGCACAATCCTGACTCGAAGCAACCCAAGGAGACAACGGACGGTCCCTGTCCAGAGGTGGTATTCAAGCCGCTTTGGAGCGGTTCTGGCGTACCGGTAGTTGAAATGTTGACAAGTTTGGAGAACCGGCAAACACCACCTCTGACTGGCCCCACCCTCCCGCCCCCGCCGTTACCTCTCCTACATTTCTTTGGTTTTTAGCTCAGCTGATTTGCGCAGCACAGCAAATTGCTGCGCCTCAGCCTCAGCCTCAGCTGAGCTAAAAAACAGGCAGCTCACCAGCATTGACAGAGGTCGGTATTTGAGCCCTGCACACGCACAGAACCAGTAGGAAAAAATAATTGGAAACCCATCACTGGTCCCGTTATTCAGGAAGTGCGTTTGGTCTTTCGGTGAGTAGCCAAACAAGGGCACCGGGGTGCAGAAGGAAAAAACGGGCCATCCTACCTTTGCACAGTTTCTCCTTCTGGGAGTCAAATTTTAAAATCCTTAGATAGCATTCCCTGGCCTGGAAGCAGAAGGGAGAAACATCAGTGAGAATGAACAGGAAGGAGAAAAATCAAGAAAAGGCTGAAATGGCAAAAACTTACTCTGATTCAGTTAAAGAATATAACTCTGCTATATCACTCTGCTAAACAAACAATTCCCTCAACACTGTCCAACTATTTACAAAGTCTGCACTACTATTACTATTAATCACTCCTTATCACCCATCTCCTCCCACTTGTGACTGTATGACTGTAACTTTGTCTCTTGTATCCTTACAATCTATGTTGACTGTTTCCTAGTATGATTTGATTGCTTACTTGTAGCTTATGACTATTATTAAGTGTTGGACCTGATGATTCTTGACTCTTGATGAATGTTTTTTTTTCCCTTTATGTCCACTGAGAGCATTTACACCAAGACAAATTCCTTGTGTGTCCAATCACATTTGGCCAATATTGTATTGTATGGTATGGTATGGTATGGTATTGCATTGCATTGCATTGCATTGCATTGTACTGTATTCTATTCTATTCTATTCTATTCTATTCTATTCTATTCTATTCTATTCTATTCTATTCTATTCTATTCTATTCTATCCTATTCCATTCTATTCCATTCCATTCCATTCCATTCCATTCCTCTACTGTTCTGTTCTAATCTAATTCTATTCTCTCCTATCCCATCCCATCCCCTCTTCTCTTCTATATAAGTACTTTGTTTCCATGTGGAAACTGCTTCTGGGTTTCATGGTTGATGTGTAAAAGAACGTTAACTTTGACTTCGGGTTTTACAGCTTAGATGAATAGATCTTGATAGAAATGACTTGTTTATATTATTATGGGAAAAACAAAACGTGACTTGAAGTTTTATTTCCCTGCAACGGAGAGTCTTCTCTTTCTCCTACCCTTCCCCACTTCCCTTTCCTCTTTCCCCTCCTTCCTGAATGTTCCTCCATTTACTTTTACACTTTGTATGTTGCAATACTTCATCATTTAATAATAAAAGCACGTTTGAAAAATGCAAGAAAAGGCTTGGCTCCAGGGCTGGCGTGGAAGACAGGTGCACCTCCCCTCTTGCTAAAATCCAAACTCCGGATCTCACAATTTATCCCCCCCCCCCCCCGAGGGCAAATCCTGCACGTGCGGGTTCCCACAACCAGCTAAGACTCAACCCTTTTCTCTCGGGGTGGGGGGTGGGGGGAGTTCCTCCCAAGGGTTGGAGTCATCAGAAGTTTAAGATGAAAGGGTTTGCTAACCATTCAGCCAACGCACTAGGGGCAAAGGCGTCTGGCCTACCAATTCTTGAACCCAATTTCTTGAGGACTACCCCCTTGGGGCACCTATTTAATTGTCTTGCTTTTCTTTCTTGACAACCGTGCAGGCTTGTTGAGCAGAAGTTCCCAGCTCTAAGACCGACAGAGTCCCACCTGCCCATCTGAACAAGCTAAAAATAATCTCATATTCACACCATAAAGGTAGCCCTCGATTTACCACTGGTGTAGCAACTGGTCAAAGTGACAACAGCACTGAAAGAAGTTACTTATAACCGGTCCTCAGGTTTGCGGCCATCACAGCATCCCTATGGCCATGTGATCAAAGTTAAGGCCCCGGATTCTCTTAATGACCAGGTTTTGCTTAACAACTGCAGTGGTTTGCTTAACCACTGTGCGCCCCCCCCCCCAAACGGTGGAACGGCTCGCTTAACAATCTCCTTGCTTAGCAGTGGGAATACTGGTTGTAAGCCGAGGACTACCTGCCATAACTTGGCGCGGCACAGACTCTGAGCCCAGCGAGGCCTCACCTGCTGGAATTGCTTCTTGGCCAGGTACGCCTTTCCCATGTGGAAGAGAGCCTTGGTGCATTTCTCATCGCACTGCGTTAAAGAGAATCGCTTAGCAAAATCCACAGATTAGGGCTACAATAAAGGCAACAGGGCCGCTGGTGGCTGGTGGCTGGTGGCCCGGGGTGGGTGTGTTAAAATATCAAGTTGGGGGCTGCAGTTGAAGCCAGGCAAGGCAGGCATGTACAAGGGGGGACTTGGCTTGGGGTTCTGACTGACTTTCCTGACCACCTCTGCGGCCAACTCGCCATAGCCAACCCGCTGTGGAACAAGAGTTGCACGAATACCAAAGAAATAGTGGGAAAGAATCACTAAAGAAAGGATGCGAAAGGAGGAATGGAATGAAATGTGAATGGCAACAATTAAAATATTTATTTCAAATAAATAAATAGAATTATTAAATTGTCCTGCAGCAAGTTGTCACATGGTGAGTTGGCCACAGCAAGTTGGCCATGACAAGTGGGCCATGGTGAGTTGGCCACAGCAAGTTGACCATGGTGAGTTGGCCATGGTGAGTTGGCTACAGCAAGTTGGTCATGACAAGTTGGCCATGGTGAGTTGGCCATGACAAGTTGGCCACAGCAAGTTGGCCATGGTGAGTTGGCCATGACAAGTTGGCCATGGTGAGTTGGCCATGACAAGTTGGCCACAGCAAGTTGGCCATGGTGAGTTGGCCATGGTGAGTTGGCCACAATGTTGTCCTATTCTGACCTCTGACACCTCCTGCGGATACCCTTCAATGCTAGCAACTTGTTACTGAAAACCAAAGGTATTTCAGCCCTTTTAGAAAATTACTATTTATTTTATATTGTCCAGCAGAAGACCATACAGGCCGTAGCCCATTCAGGCCACTGCCAATTGCCGTTTTGACTGGATGCCACCTTGCCCTCAGAGCCCATGGGCTGATTCTGCCCCTCTCATGGGAGGGCAGGGAACGAAGGCAGGTGAGCCTTACCCTCAACGCCCAACTGCAGTCATCAATGGCTTTCTCGTACTTCTGCAACTTGATGTAGGCCTAACGCAAAAATAAACCCAGAGAGGCACGTTAAGTGGACATGGTGCTGTGTCCTACAAAACACATCAAAGCAGCAGCCGTATCCTGAAGGAAGGAGCCCACTATAGGAGATGGGAAATTAGGATGCCAAGACCCCGGAGGAAGGGGTCGCCCCTTTTCAGCAGGCGCACACGGACACACTGACCTGGGCTCGGTTGGTATACAAGGCTGGCATGTCCTTCTGCTTCTTCAAGCCCTCCGTGTAGTTTTGCACAGCCAAAGCATAGTCCCCTTGGGCAAAAGCGTCGTTCCCCTTCTCTTTCAGGGCTGAGGGAGGAGCAGAATAACCAAAGGCACTTTTAAAAAAAATAAAATAAATTCAAATTATTGTAGTTGAGAAGGGTCTTGAGAAATAAGAGGGAAGAGCTGCCACTGAGGCTGGGATCTGAGAAATGAGACAGCACTTTAGGGAATCCCCACCCTGCTTAATCCACATAAATAAGATTAAAAAGGGAGTCAGGGAGGCTCTTTCGGCCGTGCGTGATTCTGTTCCTGTACAGGTTCTAATAAAAATAGCTTTAGGTTCTGCATAAGCTGTCAGGGTTGTGGTAGTTACCCCTCCTTTAAATCACGAGTCTCTAGCCAGATTTTCAAAGGCTTAAAGAAGATTTATTAGGAGCAGACATGCCGGTGCTACCTGGGTGTAGCCGACTCTGAGACACATCATTCATTGTCACCTTTGACCCTGGTTTCTCCCCTCCCACCCCCTGGGTGTATCTTAATTCATATTCTCCAATGGGACACCTCCATAGCCCAAAATCATCAATCCTGCTCTCCAGTTAGAATTTTGCACGGCAGAAACTTGGGTCACCTGGAAAATATTTTTGAAAAAAATTTACAGAAAGCACTTTCGATTTCCAAGCTGCCACGCTGCTCCCCCCCTCCCTTTCTGTTGGCAACTCTAAAAAGACCAGAGAAATATTTCATGAGTTGACACGAGGCTTGCTTCTTAGTCCGACAGGGCTGCGGCCACAGTTACTCTCAGCTTGGAAAGTTGGGACAACTTGCCACTGTCAGCTTTTCATGGCCAACTCGCTACGGCCAACTTACCGTGGGACAACGGGCTGCAGGACAATTCAAGAGCTCAATGTAATTATTTAAAATAATTAATGTGTTGTTTTTCGTTGTTCACGTTTCATTTTGTCCCTCCTTTGGTATCCTTTCCTTAGTGATTCTATGGTATATATATATATCATATATATAACATCACTCTGAAAAGCAAGAGCCAAAGACAGAGGCCTGATGATGATGAATGAGACTTCATCGAAACGTTGCCTAGATACTTTAAATCTTACGCGGGAGAAAACCCGAACAACCAAAGATCCACATACAAATACCCGCGAGAACCTCAGAAAACATATACCATATATATATATACCATATATATTTGTTTTCTGAGGTTCTCGCGGGTATTTGTATGTGGATCTTTGGTTGTTCGGGTTTTCTCCCGCGTAAGATTCGAAGTATCTAGGCAACGTTTCGATGAAGTCTCATTCATCATCTTCAGGCTTCTGTCTCCGGCTCTGTGCTTCTCTGTGCTTCACTCTGAGAAGCACAGAGCCGAAGACAGAAGCCTGAAGCTGTTGAGCTGCAACGATGCTTTGAGATCAAGCAAGGAAGACTGGACAGTTTGCAAAACCGCTGGAGGCTTGAATTGCCCCGCGGGAGCTTTGCCAGGAGCCAAGATCCTTGGGGGGTGGGGGAGGGGGTGGGGTGGGGGTCAAGCGAAGTCCCAGGGCTTTGTTTCTAGCTTCTGCTTCTGCTGAAGGCTAGCCTGACCCTCACCGTTTGCTGAGGCTTCGTTTTCCTTCCTCCTCCTCGCTCGCTCGCGGGCATCCTTCTCCAAGGCCGCCAGGAAGCTTTCTGGAAGTCAGCCAAGCAGATGTGGGAATTCAGTCCAAAGGAAAAGGACGTCGTGGTGGCTTGAAAAGGGAAGTCAAACTACAAAAGCAAAGTCATTTCGGAGACAGGGAGTGCGAAGCTGCAAAGGCCGTTTCGTTAAGGTGGCAGCCAATTAGAACGGGAATGCGAAGTTTCCATTTACAGAGAAAGAGGGAGAATGCAGAGATTAAATATTTTGGAAAAGGGAAAGAAAGCAACAAGTCTCGGAGAGAGGGGAGCCCTCTAATTTCTGGCTAATGGGGTGGTTAATATATCCTAAATTATGCCTTCCAGCCAACGAAGGATAGAAGATAATTAATGCATTTAGGTAGAAAACTGGGGCCCGTTCTGATTTTTAGAGACGAAAGGAAAACTTCCTCGGCAGTTATGCAAGAAGCCAAGCCAGGACCAAGGAAGGATGGAAGGCCACAAGGAGGGTCCTGGGCTTTGGAGGAAGCCCAGGGAATCCACCGCAAGCAGGAGG